TAGGAAGCAATGTGAGACAGGCACTAGATTAAATTCCTGAGTTGGGTTTTTACTTGTTTTTCTTTCTCAAACACCACAGTTACTGCACAGCTAAGTGGCCACAGATTTGTTGTAATTCCAAGGTTAAGTTTTGTCCATACGGAAGTCATAATCTTGGAGAGAAACATGCAACAGAACTGATATGAACAGAAACACTCCCAAGGCAATGTTTTGGGAATTACCCCATCTATTGTAAGTTTTCACTTAAGGTTTTTTATTTCCATAAACAAAAATGCATACATAAGAACTGCAATAGTTATTTGCATTGAATTAAAATTTATTCCTAAGTATTTGACAAGTTTAAAACTATCTTTCTTCCTTTCCTTTCTTTCCTTCTTCTCTCTTCCTCTCTTTCTCCCTTTCCTTCTTTACTTTCTTTCCTCCCTCACTTCTTTTCCCTTCCTTCTACATTTTCTTTCTTTACTCTTCCTTCTTTCTATTCTTTCATCCTCCCTTTGCTCAGAGGCAGCATGACAAATTGGATCAAAATGTGGATTTGGGGAGAGACAGAGGTGCAGTTATATCCAGACTCTTGCCACTTTCTAGCTGTGAAAGATTTCATAATTTATTTACCCAACTCAAGCCTCAATTTCAACATCTGAAAAATAGAGTTAACAATGCCTACATCATGAAATTATTGATAGGATTAATTAAGATAATTGTTAGAAAGCAGGTAATGTATATCAAACACAAAAAATATAAGCCACTGTTCATAAAATATTATTTCTTCGTTGCTTTTTCTATTAATCTCTTCCTTCTCTCTGCTTTCTGCCTTTAATATAGTATGCAAGACACGTGCTAGGTTCTGTCACATGGTAAGGAAAGTAAGCATATGTCTTTACTCAAGTAGCTCATAATCTAGACAGGGCTATAAAACAAAAAAGGGCAGCCCTGGCAAAATAAAAAAAAAAAAAAAAGAAAAAAGAAAACCGGCTTCTGTTAAAATAGCTACAGATATGGAACTGTTGGAGACAAGGTACTCTAGACACCGATAAGGAAAACAAGAAGGACTGTTGCTGTGCCTTCTCTCTCTCTAAGCAGCAGTAACAACAATAGTTACTCAATACTAGACAAATGCATATCTCGGCTGTGTTTCTCATGGATAGACTGGTCCAAGCACTTGCTTAGAATTGCTTTAGTTTCCTGATGTTTTCTGCACAACTCATCTTCCTCAAGATAAAATGTTTTAGTTACTTGATATTTTTTTGTTTGGATTCTGGATAAACGTTGACTATTTCTGAATCCAATAACACCATAGCCTCTCTTTACATGACTGCCTGAAATCGTCCATGGGAAATGGGTCATCTGTTAAGACACTGCCTCCCATTCCACCGAGTTATTCAAGCTCTGCTTATTGAAATGGCTTTCTTTTTGCAATAGGCATTTGGTTCCTATTATCAATATACCTTTGCCTTTCATCTTTGCCTCAAATAGAAGCTCATTCTTTTTGACTCACAACACCCTTGAGTTAATATACATGTCTTTTCTGCCAGGCACCAGTATACCTTTTAGCTTGTCTTTATGTTATTGCCATCTGCTAGGAAATTAGGTCAAACTACTTATGAAGGAACCAACATTTGTCAACAGGGCTCGAAGAATCCGAAATGAATACTTGATATTTAGTTCATCTAGCTCCAGATTACATATGTGGCAAGTGGTAGAGCTAACGTCCAGGCTCAGACAACCTACCTTGAGACTGCTCATGCTTTACTACAGAATACTGACTTTCTGTAAATAGTCATTATTATGGTCAAGTGGATGAACTCAGAGGGATGTTTACATTTTAGTAGTTTGCATTTACTTTAAAAACTGTAGATTATATAATTTTATAGAAAATTTGTACGATCAATATCTTAATCTCTTTTCTTATAGGGTGCTTCAATTCCTTCCCTTAGGAGTAATTTATAGGACTGTTATTCTTAAATGTTTCAGTACCACTGATAACACAATTTAATCCAAAATGAAAATTAGGAAGATTTTCTTCTCTAAGAAGGACATGATCATTGGTGCAAACTGCAAAAACAACCCTTTTTTTCCCCCATCTCTAGCCTTAAAGACATTGAAAGCTTGGATAAACAATCATTGATATTGGCCCCTTTAGTCCAGGGGCCATTCCCTAGCAAGCATGACTGAGAGCCCTTTATTATTGATTTCATAGGGGCAAAACTCCTCCTAAGAATTAATATTATTATTAAACCATTTCAACATGTTTTTTCAAGAAGTTGTAATAGCGACTTGTGGAAATAGAAAGAAATTTTTAAAAATATCTTTTTGGTGATGTGTGTGCACTGTGGGGAAGGAGAAGAAGTGAGGGTATACTTTATGCCACCAAAGGAATATTAGAAATATATATATATATATGAACTGTAATTAACATGGGTTCCTTGGAAATTCATCTCAGGCAGTATTTGTTTTCTGAAAAGCCCATTTACAAAATGCTAATGTTACAAAAGCGTTAGCCCAGAATCTCTTTACATAGATTCCTTGTATATTCAAAATAAAGTGTGACTTCCATCTGAATTTTCAGAGCAAGAGTTTATAATGGAGTAAATCTCCAGTTAACACAGTTTCTACCACTTATTTGGAAAAGAATACTCAAGACAAGGCTGCTTACTGATCCACAGCAAATAGACCTTGGCAGTGCTATCACAGAATTTCATCAGTGTCCTGTCAGGCTCATTACACAAAAACACAAGGTGTAATGGTTAGAAGAAAAATATGGCCTAATCCTCAGATTTAAATGAGAGGGGTGGGTCCATGGATCACGAGAGAAACACCCCTCATCCCTTTCAACTGTCTGCATCTGTGCTGACCTGGTAAGGAGGCTCCCTGACAGGTCAGCTCTAAGGCTTTTGATCTAGTCAGAAATGAAAATTAAAAAAAAAAATCACATCAGCTTAATTCACATGAAAGAGCCAGGTTACACTGAGAGCAAAATTCACTGATGTCATAAATAGAAACTGATAAGTTCAAAAGGCCTTAGTGTCCTCGAATTTGAATCTAGGGAGAATACCTTGCTTTAACGTTGGTAATTTTCAAGCTTTTTATCTAGTAGCTTATGAGAGGAGCTTGCTCCAGGATTCTAGATAATCCTGTCCCCTACAATGCCCTTGGAAATTTATGTGGGTTGATTGCAGAATTACATCTGCGATGAAGATGGGTAGAGGACACTTTGGAAATCACCTCCCTTCTACCTCATTCCTAGACAGAGTGCCTGGAAGAGGTTTTCTCGCATAGTGGTGAATGTGGATTGACTGTAACATACTTGAATACATGGTTGAGATGTGTTATTTCTTTTTCTAATTTTGAGTATCACTGCATATATTCAGTTTTCCCTTGAGACTACCACTAGATTATCATTTAAATTACCCACTGAATCACACACAGGAAGGCAATAACTAATGTTATTTTTAACTATTTAGCATAATTCCTTATATCATTTTCAATTCACTTGAATGGGGAAACATTAAAATTGTAACAAAAATAGCTTTAGATGGAAGCAAATTGTATTCAAAAAAGTGTATAAGAAAAACTTCTGACTTTCATCTGGCCTTAATATAGTAGATATTTCCAATCAAAATAATTTTGCCCATTTGCAGGGATTAATCACTACCTTTAGATAGCAGCCATTATGTCTCATGTACCAAGAGAGTCACACAGTAGCATAAGATGCAACAGCTTGTAATGTCACTGTTGGAAAAACTACATAAACACTCAAAGAGATAAATAGTCATAGAGACCAAAATCTAGGCCATGGATAGTAAATATCAAATAAATCTTATTACCTCATCAGATGGAAGGCAGATCAACCCTCTCGTTTGAAATATGATTAGGAAAGCCTTCTCAGAACTAGTGAGATTGGATTTGGCCCTTAAAGAAAAGGGTCTGATAAGAAGAGATATGGAAAAATGGGTGCCTCCAAATAGACAGCATATCTTGACAATGGATGTTGTTTAGGTCAGGGTAAACAATACTGTAACAGAAAAGCTAGACATTTCAATGACAATACAATAAAGCTTTATTTGTCACTCATATTAAGTCTGAGGAAGGTCATGCTACCTTCCTTCATACTGTAGCTATGCTATCTGGAGTGGATAATTCACAGGTCATCGGGCAGAAGTAATCACATGGCCTTGCATGACTGCAGTGAAGGCTGAGATAAGTCAAAGGTGCACTTGGATAGCTGATGACCATTAATTCTCTGTAAACTAGATGGGCTTTCATAAGGAGAAAAAGAAGAAAACTTGAAAAAGGAATATGACTGTTGGAATGTAGAGGGCTTTGAAGATCAGGCTGAGAATTCGTTTTATCTCATAGGTAACTGTTAGGTATTGCAGACACTGGCCTGAAATATGATCATCCATAAGATACAATAAAGAAGGAAATTGCAAATGGGAATAAAAGAATAATATACCAGCCATTAAAGTTGGGAATAAACACGATATAGACGACTACTTATTTATTGCTTGTTCAGAACTGAATTTGTACATTTAGTTGAGGCTCTCTTGTCTCTCACTCTGCCCCCAATACTTGTTTATATTTGGCATTCAAAACGTATGAATTGAGCAGCAAATATGTGCAAGGTGCTGTTCTAGGTTCTCAGGATGGTCTAGTGAACAAAATAGGAAGAGTTCCTGCCGTCATGGTGCTTACATTCTGCCAGGGAGAATTATTTCCACTTAACTCATTCCTAAACTTTGAAGGGGCCCAAGAAATCACCGGCCTCAATGTGTTCCTTCTTTTAAGAGCAACTTAACAAAATGCCCCAAACACATCAAACCACCTGCCCCAGAGTCAGTGCATCTCCTACCTCGCACATCAGTTCCCAGGTGCTTTAACAAGTACCTCACCATAACACAAAGATCATTGAGCTGGTGGAGAAAGGGAGTCTCCTGACCCTAAAACACTGAGCGGATGGAATTTGATATTCCTAACCCACACCTCCACGAAGGCCTAGCCAGAGCTGTATCTTCTAAACGGACACCGTGAATTCACAATCTCTCAACCTCATTTCTCTACTCCATATCCTCAATATTCAATAACCTTTAAATCCCAGGACATTAATATCAATGAAGCAGTCTCTTCCCTAGACAACTTAAACAATCTCCATGTACTCCTTAGGCACTTGCATTGCCTCTACTATATAGTTCTTAATTTATTGTTGTTTTTTTTAATGTTATAATTAGTTGTGTTTCTTTTCTTCCATACAAGTCTTTTGAGAACAGTTGTCACTTTTGTGTCTTCTATGTTACTTACCAAAGTGCCTTATAAATTAAGTATTGAAAACAATGTCCACTGAATTTTATTTTATGATGCTAGGAAAAAAGCCAGTTTACAAAGACACAAAGTCTTTTAGCACCAAGTATATAAGTGATCTCAGAGGTTGTTAGGAAATTATCAAGTGCCTCCTAGAACAATCTCAGCCCAAAAATGGACTTCTGGTCCTGTTTTCCTGAGGGCCTCCTTTCTGCACACAATTAGCCCTAAATCTCTGTGGTGCAGCAGTTATTGATCCCCTATTAAACCCCTGTGGAGAAAATAATTGAAATGGAAGAAAGAGACTCTCAATGGAAAATGAGATGAGACCCTGAGGACCTGAGGTCTCTTTGGAAGCAGCTGAGGCAAGACGGGGATCACACAGGGGGTCACAGTGCCCCCAGCTAATGTGAGAAGAGAGCCACACACCCAAATAAAGAAGAAAACCTGACTAGAAACTTGGCAGTGACGATCAGAAATGACTATAGACTCCCAGTTGGAAACATGAGGCCTGGGAGGATAAAGTGAGCACAAGGAAGTCCATGATGGAGAATTTTTGTTAAATAAGAGCCTGCTTAACTTAATTTAATAATGCTGTGAAAATCTGCACTTTACAAAGACAGTAAGTCTTCTCCCACCAAACGTATAAGTGATCTCAGAGGATATAACCATGGTTCTCAATCAAAGAGGGAAGATCACAATTCCTTCTAAATTCCAATGCCAGGTCTCTACTGCTACTGCAGAGTTACCTGAATCTCTTGAGAGGAAAGTCCTGTAGATGTTTTTAAAAATATGAAAAACTTCTGTTATTTATAAACAGGAAAACAATCACCTTCCAACACACATACCTTCCCCCTTACACATACCTCTCTACACTTAAAAACTCTACAGTAGCACACTGGGGCCGGTCCGGTGGCACAGTGGTTAAGTGCACGCATTCCATTTCAGCGGGCCCAGGGTCTGCATGTTCGGATCCGGGCGCGCACCGATGTACCACTTGTCAAGCCATGCTGTGGCAGCGTCTCATATAAAGTAGAGGAAGATGGGCACGCATGTTAGCCCAGGGCCAGTCTTCCTCAGCAAAAAGAGGAGGATTGGCATCGGATGTGAGCTCAGGGCTAGTCTTCCCCACAAAAAACAAACAACAAACAAAAAAGAACACACTAAGAATAAAGTGAAAGGAGGTAATGTATCAGAATGATTCTAGATTCTAGATTCCTGTCCCATTTCTACCCCATGGAGCTGTATGACGTGGGGCAAATTACTTAAACTTCCTGAGACTGATTTTTTGCATCTGTAAAATGATGGTAACAATAGTGTCTATTATTATGAGGATTAAATGAAAAAAATCACTTTAAAATGCATAACACAGTCCTCGGCATATCACAATCCCTAATAAGTGTTAGCAATCAATAGAAAGAAGAGTAATAAATATAAATAAAATTCCTTTAGCAGGAGAGGGATTTGACAAAGGAAGGTCAATAGTAGAGGTAAGGAAATCTTGTACAGAATGGGCATTTTAAAGGTGTCAGGAGTCTCTTCAGAACATATAGTCAGACCATTCAGGAGGCCATATGAGAGCAGAGACTTTCTATTTTTCACCACTGTATCCAATACTCTTAGCAAAGTACTTAGGAAATACCTTTAAAAATAAAATATGGGACCTATAACAGCCAACACAATATTGAAGGAGAACAAAGTCAGAGGGCTGACACTATCCAACTTCATGACTTACTATAAAGCTACAGTAACCAAACCAGTGTAGTGTTGGCAAAGAAGAGGCAAATAGATCAATGGAAAAGAACAGAGAGCCCAGAAAAAGAACCACACAAATATAGTCAACTGATCTTTGACGAAAGAGCAAAGGTAATTCAACGGAGAAAAGACACTTGAACAAATTGTGCTGGAACAACTGTACATACACATGCAAAAAACCAATCTAGATACAGATACTACAACTTTGAAAAAAAACTAACTCAAAATGGATCATAGACTTAAATGTAAAATACAAAACTATAAAGTTTCTAGAAGAAAATAGAGGAGAAAATCTAGGTGATCTTGTGTTTGGTAATGACTCTAAATATAACATTAAAAGCACAATCCATGAACGAAAAAATTGATAAATTGGACTTTGTTAAAAGTAAAAATTTCTACTTTATGAAAAACAATTAAGAGAATGAAAAGACAAGCCATGGACTGGGAGAAAATCTTTGCACTAGACAAATTTAACAAAGAACTGTTATCCAAAATATACAAGGAACTCTTAAAGCTCAACAAGAAAATAAACAAACAATCCCATTTAAAAATGGGCAAAAATCCTGAACAGACATCTTACCAAAGAAAATAAGTAGATAGCAAAAGAGCATATGAATATATGCTCAATATTATATGTGATCCGGGAATTTAAGTTAAAATAACGAGATGCCACTAAACACTTATTAGAATGGCTAGAATCCAAACCACTGACAACAGAAAATGCTGGGGAGGGTATGAAGCAACAGGAGCTCTCATTCATGGCTGGTGGGAATGCAAAATGGTACAGCCACTTTGGAAGACAGTTTAGTAGTTTCTTACAAAACTGAGCATATTCTTATCATACAATCCAGTAATCATGGTCCTTTGTATTTACACAAATAAATTGAAAACTCATGACCACACAAAAGTTTATAGCAGATTTTTTCATAACTGACAAGTCTCAGAAACAAGCAAGATTGTCCTTTAGTAGGTGAATGGATAAATAAACCATGGTACATTTGAACAATGGAGTATTATTCAGCACTAAAAATAAATGAGCTATCAAGCCACAGAAAGACATGGAGGAACCTAAAAAGCATATTGCTGAGTGACAGAGGATAATCTGAAAAGACTACACACTGTAGGATTCCAACTCTATGACACTCTGGAAAAGGCAGAACTATAGAGACAGTAAAAAGATCAGTGGTTGCCAGAGAGGCGAGAGGGAGGAGAAAAAGATGGAGTACAGAGGAGTTTTAGGGCAGTGAAACTGTTCTGTATGATACAGTTAAGGTGGATACATATCATTATATGTTGTATACAACTCCACAGAATACACAACACAAAGAATGAACCCTAATGTAAACTATGGACTTCAGTTAATAATAGTGTATCGATATTAGTTCATCAATTATAACAAATGTTCCACAGTAATAGAAGATGTAAATACTAGGAGGAATTGTGGGGAGGTGGGAGGTAGGGGAGGTATGTGGGAACCCTCTATATTTTCTAATCAATTCTTTCACAGACCTAACATTTTTCTAAAAAAGTATAGTTTATTAATAAATATAAAAAAAGTTTTAAAATGAAATATGGCACGAGGTCCTACCAGTCAGTATCTAATGATGGTGCATCGATTTTATTTGAGACAATTCCCAATGCAAAACAGAAATCTGAAGTAACAATTGGAGAACAAGCTAGAGGTCCAATTCACAGGTAATTTACTGTCAAGTTGTTGTGTAGATAAGAGCATCATCAGGCCCCCTTTCTTTGGCTGTGTTTAGATGAAGAGGGAAATTCAGGCACAAAGCCATACAAGTCACAGAGAATTACTGGGTAGTGGTCGAGTCCGGCCTGCTGTCAATCATGAAGACATCTCAGAAAATCATCAAGTTCATCTCTGGTATTTAGTCAATATATTTAAGCTCTTCAATGCCTTCTTTGCATAAGGCTTAACAAAGCACAAACAAATCATTAAATTATGTTTGATTACTTGGATCAATGGCCAGCCAGTATTCTTAATTAAGAAAAAAAAATTCCACAAATATTCATCATGAAGATTTACTAAATGCTTTTACTTTGAACCTATTCATCACTCTTAAGACACCCCATAAAATGTAAGAGGAATTATTAAAACAGTCATGAGAGAGAGTGACATATTTCAATAACAATGATTATGCTATTTCTAAAAATACTACAAATCTATTTTTTTAAAGGTTTTATATAGCAATTTAGAAATACATAACTTCTTTTTGGTTTTTATAGAGACTACAAAAGATCTAGGTATAAAAAACATGATTTATAACTGGAATTCTCCAACAAAATATGCTGAATGTAATATTTTCTTAAACAAATGCTTGACTGATCTGAAGTCAGAATTTGCTTTTGGCTTTACATGGGTATCCAGAAAACTTGGTTGACATTTCTGAGACTGGCAGGTAAACTTCACGTAGATTGTTTGTTGGTTCTGAATTCTATTATGAAGAGCTCATGCTATCTTTGTGGATATAGTCTCTTTTGCATGCCCTTGGAACACACAGAATGCCCGTTAACTTCAGTGGGAACTCAGAACACTTCAAGGTTGACTAAGTTCTCTGTGGGAGTCAGAATTATAGTAAACCCACTTCAGCTATTCTAATTAGAGTTAAGTCTTCCTATTTAAGGTAATTCATATTGATTTTCTCTGAGGCACAATTTTCACAAAATGTCTGTAAATTTTGTCTTTATTAGCATACATCTTTCAACAAGGTGATATTTACTTCTTAATATTTGGTCAAACAAGCATTAAAAAGGCAGTGCACACTTTTCCAAATATTTTTTCATTTTTTTTTAACCTGAGTTTTCAGATGATTCAGGATGCTGGAGATGACTAAATTCAACTCAGTCCATGTTCGATGACAGGGCATGGAAAACTTAAAATAATTGATGTGATTATATTTTAGTGAAAACAACACTTTTATAAAGACAATGACAAATGTGACTGTACTGTATTCTTTATGAAAACAACACATGGTGAGTATTAATATAGCCACTTAATCAAGGCCTCCCCCTCTGGCCAATACAAATCCTGTAGAGAATAGGTTGGCCTACAGCTGGATTAAGAAATTATTTCAAGTGTCAATTTCCTTGGGGCTATAATACATCACTGGTACACTAAAACACTACCGGAATAATAATATAATTGCTCATTCTTGGAGAGAGCTTATACTGTGTCAATCTTTTTAAGCACTTTACCTAAAATAAATCAGTGCATCATTACAACAGCACCATAAGTAGAAACTGTTATCTCCATTTTACATTTGAGGACAATGTAGCACAGATACAGTGGCGTGCTGGTAAATGTTTAACAAGCTGCTGAGGGGAAAAATGAGACCTAATTTGTAATGTTTGCCAATTTCCATGGTGTAAACACTCCCATCATGATCATCAACTTCAAGCTACCAACATGACATCGCTGATTGTGGATTTGGGAAGAAATGCACAGTAGCACACCATTATATAGTATTTATACCAGTCATAGTAGTAGATATGAATATCTATGTATATCTGAGGAGCATAAATAGTAGTATAATATGGTAAAAATAATTAGCAAGTGATAAGTTTTGAGTATAAGTTTGTTTTGTTTTTTTGTTTGTTTTGGTGAGGGAGATTGGCCCTGAGCTAACATCTGTGCCAGTCTTCCTCTATTTTATATATGGGATGCTGCCACAGCATGGTTTGGTGAGTGGTATGTAGCTCCACCCCAGGGGTTCTGAACCTGCGAACCCCAGGTCACCAAAGCGGAGCGTGCAAACCTAACCACTATGCCACCAGGCCAGCTCCTAAATTGTGTTTTTAATATAATTTATAGAATTGTAAATTTATATAATTTAATTTTTAACTATGACTCCACTTAACAATTGGCTTACAAAATTCCTAAAAATTTTAACAATCAGTTCTTATGGGTTAATATGAGCTGGCTCTATACTGGGCAAAGAGGTTAAGTAGCTTGTTCAACAAGAACATGTAAATAATATGAAGTATGTGCCTGTACCATGTTCACAACTACCCAATGAGGTAGATATTATTATCCTCATATTATAAAGGAGGAAACTGAAGTATGAAAAAGTCACACAGGGAGATAATGGCAGACATGCTGTTAAAACCCACATAGTTCCAGAGTCTCTGCTTTGAATCACTATACTAAAATACATCTCAGTATATTCTAGTCCACCAAGAGAATGTAAAAATTGTGAGGACAAAAATCTCCCCACTTTGTTTTAACATAAAACATCTGCTTTAGTCATGGAAAAACGACTGAAAAAAATTGGAAAATAAATCAGAATAACTGGTATTTCTACCTCAATGTTCTTCTCAAAATCATGTCATGAATTTTCAATGCATTGGACCATTTGTTCTTAAAAATCATATTAGTTTGTCCTTGTTTCATAAATGACAAAACAGAGAACTGGGATAATACGTGACGTGTCTAAGTTACAGCTAGAAAATGGTGAGGCCAAGATCCAGCTCAGGATTTATTTAATAAGTGTGAATTCCATGGAAAGAACTGCCCAATTCTGAAACTCTGTGTAAGTGTTTAAAGCTTGAAGAAATGGTATAAAAATACTAATAGAGATCCAGATCATTCTTTGATGCATTAGGTCTATGGCAAGAAATGTTCTATTATTGGCGATAAAAGAAGAAACAAGGCAGCAAGAGAGAGTCCAATAGCTTACTACCACCTGAATCCTCCTCTCAGGTGCAATTCCTTCACCTAGCACTGGGGGCTCTGACTCTATTTCCTGTACAGTGCACCCTCAGTACCCTTACCCACTTCTGTCGACCACCAGCCCAATCCTCAGAGTAATACGTTGCCCTTTAAATAATGAAATAAATGGGAAAACAAAGTTCAATATTCTGAAATTTACAGTGCATCTATTTTTATGATTTTTCACAAAACTTGATGGTTTCTTTTGTCCATCACCTACATTCTACTTTAATTTTATTAAAAAACAAACAAAAATTTCTGCCTCTAACTAAAACTTTGAGAATTTAAAACACATAATTGTATTAAGACAAAGTCTCACGAAAACTTCAAATGCACCTGGTTCTTCTACTATGAAAGGCAGAGTGTGGCAAGATTTTGATCTAATTAAGAATGTGAACT